ACAGAGGCAGGAGAATTGGTTGAACTGGAGAGGCAGCGGTTGCAGTGTGCCGAGATCACACCACTGCCCTCCAGCCTGGGCAACAGAGCAAGACTAAAAAAAAAAAAAAAAAAAAAGACAACAGAAAAACAAAACAGAAAAGAGGAACAAGAATTACTTTTGTAACCAGAAAAGAAAATAGATGGAGTGGTGGGTGCCTCCCACCATGGTGTCATGGGGAGGGGAGGGAGGATGTGGCCATGTGCACCTGTCGTCTTGGCCACACGAGGCCTCACAGCCCAATCCTTGGTCCCCAGTAGGCCTTGACAGCCATTACTTTTTCGCTGGGTCTCCCTCCCACCATGCAGGTGAGATGATAACGACTGTGGACCAAAGGTTCCTGGCAGTGTGAGTGACGGGCGGTGGCACTCGGTGCAGGTGCATGCGGCACTACAAGGTAAGATGGGCCCCCACCACTTCCATCCAACCCCAGGGCGACTCAAGAAGGTGCCTTGGGGCTGGGCGTAGTGGCTCGGGAGGCTGAGTTGGGTGGATCACCTGAGGTCAGGAGTTTGAGACCAGCCTGGCCAACATGATGAAAACCCATCTCTACTAATAATACAAAAATTAGCTGGGTGTGGTGGCGGGCACCTGCATTACCAGCTACTCAAGAGGCTGAGGCAGGAGAATCACTTGAGCCTGGGAGGTGGCGGATGCAGTGGGCCGAGATCGCGCCCCTGCACTCCAGCCTGGGCAACAGAGCGAAACTCCTTTAAAAAAAAAAAAAAAAAGAAGGCAACCTGGTAGGTTTTCTGTCTTAAGACCTTCATGCTCTGAGATAGGTTTAAAATGTGCTATTGGAGAAAGTGGTTTAGGAAATGCACATTTGTGGAGGGTCTGTGTTAATACACCTGAATTTTCTGCTGGGGGCATAGTCCCTCCTGGATCTCTGGGCCGGGGAGGCATACAGGGACCCTGGAGACCACCTGCGCCAAGGGAGGGACACAGAAAGGGCTTATTTCTTTGCAGCCACCTTGGCGAGAGTCTTTACTAGTGGCCGAAATTCCAGACTGTTTAGACACAGCTCTGTAGCCAAAATTGTCCGCTCTACCTGGATGTAACTGGAGAGCCAGAACAGTTTCCAAGAAGTGCCGTGAAAGGCTGGGTGGTTTTGGTTTTACTTTATTTTGCTATTCCTTGTCTTGTAAGGAAACACATCGTTGGTTTTTGCATCAGAGTACTGTGCTTTCCATTGCTGTGATTTTGCAAACCCCTTTTCTCTTCTGGGGAAGCTCCAGGGTGTACCACCATGGGTCTGGGTCTGCGTTGGTCATGGGTCTGCGTTGGTCTTATCAGCTGCTCCTGGAGCCCAGCCGTGCCCCTCTGTGCTCCCCCTTCCCAGGCTTCCACAAGGCCAGGGCCTAAGCTTGGCCAGCAGATGAGGGCTTCTCTGTCCTCTGTGAGAATTGAGCCAGTCCTATGGAGTCAGCGTCTTCCTTCTTTCACAGCCAGTGTGCCTGGCTTTGACTCACCAGCAGTTGGGGTCCAGCCACTGGGCCTGAGGTCACAGCACCTTTTCCACCAGCTTTCACTCTCCTTTCTCTGCTGGCCACCGCCATCTCTCCGCCTCCCTAGCATGCCCCTCACATCTGCCTTGAATGTCCCATCATCTCCCAGGCATGCCACACAGACTCCAGGTAGTGGTCACCTACACACCGACCATGGTGGTTGTCCTCTGTCCAATCAGTGCTGGCCCAGGGTGTCCCGTCCAGCAGGATCGTCAATGTAGGCCCTAGAAGAGGGAGTGGGAATTCGGGGGGACAAGAGACACGAGAAATGGAGACAAGACAATATCCTGATCAAGTCTCATTTATTGGTGGCAGTGTAATGCCTTATATAGACCGGCAGGGGCGGAGGTTGGGCCAGGGCGATGATGGTGGCCCTGCGGTGGGCGTGGCCAGGTACGTTTTGGTTTCTTTGGTTGGACGTCATGTTGCACCTGCGCTGTAAGTCAATCATTTTCCCGGGCGCGGGAAAATGGGTGATGAAGAACCCGGAAGAGCGCCATTTTGTACTGGCGTATGAGATATCAGTACAGGGAAGAAGGTAATATCATTTGGGACATAGGTAATGCATAAGTACATGAAAAGGTTCTTTCAACATCCCGCCTTTCCCTGACTGTTGGTTTTTCTTTAGCGCTGTGTCCCTCAATTTTCAAAAAAAACTCTGACTTCCATTAAATGAATTGTCCCCCAGAGAGAAAACTGGCCCTAAACTAAAGGTATTCCAATCTAGTACGGGCGGGTGAAGGCCAGTTTATCGGCTCGCAGACTCTCGCACTAATTGGGAGACGTAATATGGAGCCAGCTAGCCCCAGTATTGTAAGAAGCAGCAGTTTTAAACTCTTCATGATTAGTGGAAATCAAACCCAGTATGACTGTCTCCAACTTGTCCTTGCCCATCTGTGGGTTTCAGTAAACTGGCGAAGATGTCTTTGGGGGGAGGAGTCTTCTCTAGATCGGCAGCACAATAACCCCCCTCTTGAC